AAAACAATGGCAAAAGTTTGAAGCTGGAAAAAAAAAAATCTGCAAGCTTGAAGAAAAATCCATAAATGCAGAAAACATAAACTTGAATGTGAAAATTGGTATTGAACTATTTACTCTTCCTTTCTTTTATTCAAACTTGTGGCCCTAATTTAGCTCTCTGTGTTTGTTGTTATGCTGCAGAATTCACCTGCAAACCACTTAAATATAATCTCCTATAACAATGTTGCAACTTATATTGGAAAAATGTACAGTTCTGCAAATGGGATTCCATATATTAAGCTATATTTTCATCTTTTTAATTTTCTCCTTAAATCTTTTTGTACAAGATATTTTGATGAGCTAAAATGGTAGGTGTCTTTTAACTTTGTGATGAAAGTTGGCGTCCATGCTTCTGATGCATAGCCTCTGCAACCATCTGAGTGCGACCACGCCGGTCGGTTGGTCTCAAACCTGCGCAGATCTCAAGCGGGAGTGCGCAGACAAAAAGCAGCTGTGATTGGTCCTTGGTATGCCTTTCTGGCTGTCTGTGTGGTCGTCCTTCTCGATTCGAGAAAAAACTACAATGGACAACCTACGCGTCGCCTTTGTTTTTTGCCCACTCCATTAACAGACCCCGTTCCTCTTTGATGTCTAGCAACTCTAGATCCATCTCCTTGACCGTGATATCTTGCAGACGCGCCATTGTTGATTTGGAAGATAAACACAGTCGCCGCCGAAGTTCTCTTGACCATCCGCCAAAGTCTTGGCGCGTTCTCCAATAGACTCCCGTTTGCGCTTTGGCGGGAAACTGCTGTGTGCCCCTAGAAGTTCCAGACCCAGTGGAGAAGCGACCAGACCCAAGCGACATTTGATGTGTGCAGATGCAGAAGTCTAATCTGCCCTTAAGGGTGGAGGCTGATGGACCTACCATACAAACGCTTTCAAAAGGGTTTGTATTTTCCAAAATTGAGCTCAAACATCTATTTATTGAATGCTTTCCTATTGTTGAGAACACAAAAGAACCAAAACACACTGATATTTATATTTATGGGTAGTTAGACATTAATGTATATAAAAAAAGGATTAATAACAGCAGATTCCGATGCCATCAGCAATATATCATGCCTATGGACACAATTTCAGTTTCATCCATCCATCTCCGGTTGATTGATGGATATTTTTCCTTTCAGCTACATCATTGATTATCCTCCTTCAAACGGAGCAAAATCATATTTAGAAATTTGTCCCACCTATTGCTGAGAGCCAAAGTCTATGTATTGAAATTATTGGTGGGGACACGTCCACACCAGTCCATCAGAAAGTTACGCCTGTAATTTACTGTTCAGTTTACAAAATGCACCTTTAGGACACTCAAAGTAAATGTGGATCTGTTGCGGTTTGACACTGACTGAGCTGCTTCATGGTCCCTGCTGAGTCCAGCAGTTTAATAATGCCAGGCTGCATATCTGGTCCTGATCAGAGTCCCATCTCTGAACTATTGGCACAGTTTCAAGCGCTTTTTGGATAAGTCAATATTTCTTGAAAGGATCTTGCCTCTAAGATCATGAACTGTGTGAAGCAAACTAGAAACGAGGTTGTTTTACGTCTCGACTTTAACAAACCTCCCCCCCACGTCCGTGAGGTCATCCCTCTGGTGGCTCCTGTGTTTGTTTGTGTCTAAAGAAAGACTCGCTGTGGCGTCAGAGCTGCTCTCTATTGTACAAGTCGGGCATTTCCCGGTCAGCATCAGGAAGGCTGAGGAGGGGGGTTGGAGCTGCACACAGGTGTGTGTGTGTGTGTGTGTGTGTGTGTGTGTGTGTGTGTGTGTGTCATATTAGCAAAGGAAAAAACACAGGAAGGACCTTTTTATCTCTAAAATTAAAGTATTTTCTGCTCACTTTCTTTACTTTTGACATATTCTACATCTGTATCTGGGTTTTATTACTTTATCAAACACTGAAAAATATTTTATATCAAACCATTTTTTTTATTTTCTTTGACCTTTTAACCTCCCAAAGTTTCTTCCAGTCATACAACTGATCTTATTGGATGCTACAAAGGAAAGAAAATAACTAGACTTGTGGAAAACTACTGCAACTTCTGCTGGTTTCCTGACGGCACAGTGAACAATTTTAGGAAATAAGACCAAAAACTCTCCTTACCCTATGTGACCCTATAAAGAAGGAGCTTGTTATCTCAGTGGATTAGTTTGGGGTTATTTGAAGGCAACACTTGCAAGAAAAAGGAAAAGAAACTATCAGCTCTGAGTGCTGCAGATCAATGATCTCTGTAGGACTTTGGATTAATTTAAATCAGTTGCCTCTAAAATGGTTAAATATGCATCAGAATAAGTTTTCATATTTAAACAAGCACTTGGTCGTTAAGGTGACTGAACGAGGCAGTGAGTTTAAAGCTCCCAAGACTGTTTTAAACGATAATTTTAAATAGGACTAAAACATCTGGCTTTACAGGTTGTGGCAGCGTCTGTTTTTCTGTTTTTATCAGGGAACATTATCACAGCTTAAAGATGTAGATATGAGGACGGGTGACAGGCTGAGGGAAAAATAACCACCTTATCTTGGAGCTGGAATGTTTCCTGTTTTGGATTTTAAAATTATTTTAGTAAAAATGCCAACCTGTAGATCTTCTAAAATTAGGGCTCAAGAAGAGAGATGGGTTTTCCAAAGATACCTTTCAGAATAATAGCTTGAGAACTGGAAGGAGCTATAAATTAAAATGATTAAAATCATTTTGTCATTGTTTTTCAAAACTAGGCTACGTGTTCTATTGTTTTCAGAGTACAAATGAAAAGTATATATTTTAATTATTCAAAATAACAGCTTTCCTTTGAAAGGAGTTCGATCATTAATATTCAATTATAATCACAAAGAAGTCTTTCAATGAGTTAAAGGTTTGCTTGTTATACTCCACTATACACCATAAAGTGAGATTAAAAACAAATTTATTCAAAACACCTGAAACAAAATACAGTTTCCATTAAAAAAAAAATTAATATCCACCTAAAACAAATAAAAAAAAATAACCCTGCAATAAATCCAGACGGATATTTAGGGAGGGATCCAGTTTGTAGTGTGATAAGAGCATTTTTTGCATTATTTTTATTTTAAATGGAAACCTTTATCATAGCTATGCTATTAAATAAAGCTAATCTCTCTTTTGAGGCTTAGAAACAGAATACATTTTTATGCCCATTGATATATTCTTTATTTTTTTTCCCCTTGCTCTTCTCTCCTTTTACTGCAAAACAAGCCTTTTCATTCTAATTCAGGTTTTTACTGCCAACACTAAATGGTTAGTTAAAAAAAAAACCTTGCAGCAATGAGCTGTCTGAGCTGTCTGCTCATTGCTGGCATGGAGACAATAGTCCACGTTGCTCTACTTTGTAACTAATATACCAGCATATGGTGATTTTCCCACTGTTGTGCAATAACAGTGCATTGAAACCAGCGCAGCTGTAGTGAAATAATAATAACGGTCACAGATGTATGACTGACTGACTCTGATATGAAGCACATGTTAAGGGTAAAAGATCTAGATCATCACAAAAGTAGATTCTGATGGGCATAAAGGGGCATTATGTTGTCATTTATGTGCTTTGTTGTATTTTTTATTTTTATCAAGGCTTATAGATATATATTTTTTGAGATAGAAGCTGTATTAGTGCTTAGAATTGTTATATAAAAGTGGAGTTCCTCTTTCTTAATACATTTCCTTTTTCTTTTTTTTTTTTTGAGAAACAAAGCTTACAAATCATTTTCAAAATAAAAGCCTCATCATGTCTCATTGAAGAGTTTAACCAAAACTTCTCAAATATTCCTTAATGGCCTTAGCTAGAGCTGGATCTGGATGGGTTTTTTTTCTTCAAAATAAAACTTACTGGAAGCCTAAATTAGAATAATAACTCACCCATCGCGGCTGGTCTTCCCCCCTTTTTTTCTTTTGGGGTCACTGCCTGGAATAGCACCACGGGTACCACTGATCCCTTGAACTTCCAGCTCTTCTCTGAGACCCTGGTATTTCTCTAGTTTCTCATGTTTACAATTGGTCAATAAAATACTCTGTATGTAAACAGATATTGGGGTTTAGAGCAGTCGTTAAAAATAGTTTGTGGAAATAAAACCCTCCTTTAAAGATGACTGGTAGAGTGTTATAAGTCTAATAAATCCATAAGTGTATCTCCACCAAAAGGATTATGGACGCTAGTTTTCAGATTGATGCCACAGCTGACCTTTGATTTGATCATTTTGTTCACCGATGCTGAAGGAAAAACCATGAATTATCAGCAAGAACTGTCAGATCCCCTTGAATATTTCCACCTGTCTGAGCTGTGGGTTTGTACAAAGTGGTATTAATAAGCCCACACTGCCCCCTAGCTGACATGTATGGGTATTGCAGCTGGTTATTTGCTTAAACTAGAGCTGCAACTAACGATTATTTTACAAATCGAATGATCTGTATATCATTTTTTGGTTATTCGATTAATAATCGGATAGCTCAAGATTGCTTAAAGAAGACTTTAAGAAATTAAACAAGGTGAAACTTTTCCACTTGAGGAGTTCTCAATAGAGCATGTCTTAAATGTAAAATGTTGATATATTTTCTTACAATCTTAGTATAAATACTGCTTTAAGTAGGTCACTCTGTCAGCTATAGGCAAATTAACGGTTAATTGATTACCTAATTAGCTGAGAAATATTTTAATAATTGAGTAATCTGATTAATTGTTTCAGCCCTACTTTATACAAAGTAAAGTACCCAGAATGCAGATGTAAAATATGGAAACTCACACCTCAGAGACTTGAAACCCATTTGACATGGACTTGTTTCATATACTTAACCTTTTATCTAATTTAAATAGACATTTAGTTTAATACCAGATGTTTGTCCTTTACCTTTAGTTTTTATCATTTTCCTCAATTTTCTCCTAATTGTTTTGGTTTTCTTCTAGTTTGACTTTAAAAGTTTGAGTCTGGAGCTAAACTTGGTCGGATACTTCCCAGGTCGGTGTACGATGGTCAGGAACATGGCCTCTTCATGGAGAAGCTCGACGCCCGGATCAGGAACCATGACAGAGAGATTGAGAAGATGTGCAACCACCACTTCCAGGGTTTTGTGGACTCCATCACGGAGCTGCTCAAAGTTCGAGGAGAGGCCCAGAAGCTGAAGGTGAGAAAGAACAAGCAGGCGAGGTTTATCAAGAAACACCGGAGAGGACAGCTTTAACCTGCTCTTATCTTTCAGAGTCAGGTGATTGAAACCAACATACGTCTCCAGGAGGAAGGCAAAGGGGTAAGTGTGGGTTTCTAATTTAAAAAAAGAATGAATAGTGAAGCCCTCTAACTCTGTTCCTTCTCCTTTCAGCTCGTCGGTTCGATGGAGGAGCTGAAACAGTGCCGAGTGCAGCAGATGAACATCGCTACCACCATTGACAAGCTGACCCACTGCCTGCCAGGTAACGCAGAACACAGTGGGTCAGGATCCATGCTGGAACTGATCCAAGTGTCTCTAGCCGGTATTTTAGGAATCGCTCAGGTTTAACCAACTGATTCTGGTTAACAGTCCACAAGATAACAAAGTGTAAGCCTGGTGAGTGTGAGCAAGGCTTCATGTTTAGTTTGAATATATAGGAGAAGTATTTGGATCGGAATACAAAATACTGTACATGTGGTGAGATTTTAAAGAAGCATTTGGGTTCTTTGTCTTTTTAGATCCAGTCTGTATAAGCATGACTGTAGGATGATGTCTTCATGCTTGAGGTTAATGATGAGCTGAAAACAGACGGCTGCACCTTAGGTGCCCTAAGCAGCGCTATCAAAGATCCCTCCTGTTGTTATTATACTCTATGATAAAGTAAATTGAGTTGTAACACACTTGACATTTAAAGAAATAACCAAATTACTGAAGCTTTGTTGTCTCTTTCTGGCTTCTTCAGTTCTGGAAATGTACGGCCGACTACAGGAGCAGATGAAGGCCAAAAGGTACGTCTGTGAGAAACTTTTTTGATTGAGACCTGAAACGGACAACGTTATCATCGTCCTGTTTACAGGATGAAATAAAAGATTTAAAATGGTGTGAAAATATAAGGATAAAGTCAATTAAAAATCAAAATAAGAATACCGTAACAATAATTAAAACTGAGCATGATTATGAATCTTATTGACAGTAAAAAGTATTTAAAACACGCAGTGAAAATGTGGCAGATGGAAATGTTGATAATTTAAAACTTATGTACCAGTTTGAACTGGTGGGATTTTATTTTTTTATCCAAGACATCACCTGAGAAAGGTAAAAGAGATGGTTGAAGATAAAATATATCAGAGTGATGTAGAGGGATTTATAATATGGACTTGTTATCCAGTTCAGCGTGTTTTACAAATTAAACAAAGTACATGAGCTCTGGTACTCTAGTCTGTCTGCATGTATTAAAGAGGGTTTGATTTGAAATCTAAGAGGTTGATGTTGGAGTAGCCTGTTATTCTAACCGACCAGGGAGGAAAATAAGTGTTTGAACACCCTGCTATTTTGCAAGTTCTCCCTCCCATTTAGAAATCATGGAGGGGTCTGAGATTGTCATTGTAGGTGCATGTCCACTGTGAGTTACAAATAAAAAACAAAAAAAAAAACAAATCCAGAAATCACAATATTTGATTTGTTTAACTATTTATTTCTGTGATACAGCTGCAAATAAGTATTTGAACACCTGTTAATATTTGCTACAGTAGCCTCTGTTTGCAATTCCAGATGTCAAACATTTCCACAGATTTTCACGAGGTTTGCACACACTGCGGGAGGGATTTTGGCCCACTCCTCTACACAGATCTTTTCTAGATCATTCAGGTTTCTGGGCTGTCACTCAGATTCTGTATTGGGTTTATGTCTGGAGACTGGCTAGGTCACGCCAGGACCTTGATATGCTTCTTCCAGAGCCACTCCTTGGGTATCCTGGCTGTGTGCTTCAATTCATTGTCATGTTTGCAGACCCCGCCTCGTCCCATCTTCAATGCTCTAACTGAGGGAAGGAGGTTGTTCCAAAAATCTCTCAATACATGGCCCCGGTCATCCTCTCCTTAATACAGGGCAGTAGCCCTGTCCCATGTACAGAAAAACACCCCCAAAACATGATGCTACCACCCCCATGCTTCACAGTAGGGATGCTGTTCTTGGGATGGTACTCTTCATTCTTCTTCCTCCAAACACGGTTAGTGGAATTATGACCAAACAGTTCTATTTTGGTCTCATCTGACCACATGACTTTCTACCATGACTCTTTTGGATCATTCAAATGGTCTTTGGCAAACTTGACCTTAATATGTAATGGTTCAAGCAAGGGGACCTTCCATTATGTATTAAAGGCTGGGTATCCTCTCACAGCAGTGTGTTGCTGTGAGCTTGACACAGATGTTTTTAATTTATGCCCAATATTGAAGCCTGGTTTGCGCTATGCCATTCCACGCCACAACGTAAGACGGACAATCACGAACTAGCTGTGGGTCTAGATACGGCCGAGGGGGTGAGGAAGTGGGGGCAAGTTTGTGTGACAACGGGGGGACATGAGGACGAAAAAGAGCAGGGATCCAGGTGGAAAAAGGGTCCCGGTGTTCTTATGCACCTTGCTCTTCTAGCTGGTCCATCTTTAAGAGTCTTTTTCCACAATGGCGGTCATACAAACAAAAAAAGCCAATAAGGTACCAAGCAGGAGATATGCATAGTGCAGAGCAGATCTAGATTTGCCCAATCAGAGGCCTCCTGTCTGCGGCACTATCTGCGGTCACCTACAATTTTGGAGAGGAGCACCAGAGTGTCTGTGGAAGGGGCGGGGACATATCTGAGTTTACCACGAAACTCACGCAGACGACCTGGTTTCTGAGCATAAATCAGCCCTTAGTGTATTACCAACAGTAACCGTGGAAACGGTGATTCCAGCTCTTTTTTTTTAGGACCATCTCTGTTTAGTTCTTGGCTGATTCTCACATTTAAGATCATTGAGACCTAATGGTGAGATCTTACATGGAGCTGCAGCCTGAGGGAGATTGACAGTCATGTCAAATACTTATTTTCTCACTGTAGATGGTGAGAACTTTACAACATGCAATGCAATTTGAACGAAGTACCCTGAATAATCAAAGTTAAACGTGGAGTATTTCAGCAGCCAAGTGCGTTATTTCTTTTAGCCATTAGATGGCGCCAATGAGCTGTACAGAGAGAGGGGAAAAATTTTTTTTTTCCAGGTCTGACCTGTTGAACAGTCATGTTGATCATAAACCGGTCGTATGTTTTTGTTTTTCCTCTTTTCGTCTCATGGCTGCTGTTCTCAGAGAGAGCGGGCAGGAGGCAGCCTGCTGTGAGTGTTTCACAGATGTTCGGTGTTTCACAGTGTTTTGGTTGAATGTGATGTTGATTCCCTCTGAGGTGAATTGGATTGTGTTTATTTCTGTGTGCTAAGATGCTGTTAGTTTAATCATATTGCATTAACAAGAAATCGGCTTTATTAGATGGTGTGGACACCTAGGGGATATACAGCAAAACTCCCTGCTTCACATCAGGCTAACCCAGGAAAAGTACAATAAAAGCTGTTTTCTTTTATTTGGTTGCTGCAGGTACTATCCTGCTTTACGGACTTTAGAGCAGCTGGAACACACGTGTCTTCCTAGAGCCGGTCAGTACCGGTTCTGCTCCATCATGGCAGAGAACATCCCCAAACTGAGGACGCACATCCGGGACACCGCCATGACGCAGCTCAGAGACTTCCTGGAAAGCATCCGCAAACACTCGGACAAGATTGGAGAGACGGCCATCAGACAGGTACGCAGCGATTAAACTGCCTGAATTCACATCACACACAGTCAGCATTTCAGTACACTACAATCAGTACAACAGGAATAAACAGCAGCTTTAATGAAGTCAGACGTAGACCTATTGTTCACCCCTAGAGGGGCTTTATAAGAGCATTTTATCTAGTTAATTCCAGGATCTGTATTTAATTGATGGGGGTTAATTGAAAACCAGATATTCACAAAATAAACCTTTTCAGTAGAAAAAAAAAAAAAAACCCTTGCACCTAATTTATGGAAGAAACAATCATATAAGTACAGAAACACAAATGTTTATATTTCGCAATCCGTTATTTAGGTTATTTATTAATCAGATTGGTTGAAAGTTGTAATAATA